GCTATGTCGTTAGCAGCACCAGCTGTAGCAGTAGCATTCATTGATAAGTCACTGCTAATAGGTAGTGGAGTTAATTCTGGTCCTCTGTTACCCACTCCACAGACCAGTCTACTGGGAACACCACAAATGGTATTTATTGAGTTCATTAATAATGATATGTGATTCTCCTTTGATACGTATACATGTTCTTATGTTGTGTAGAAAGTTTGAGCTGATTCCGATTAAAATTAGATTTTATACGAATTTTTAAAGTTGCTCAAAGTTTCGTTTAAGCACCTGTACTGTAGCACATATAGCCCAAGGCCAAATTTTACCAAAAGTTAGAAGGAGTAGATTTTCTGTTTTTATTACATTTTCTGATACATATTGATGTCCTTAAGCTGTGTAGAAAGTTTGAGCTCATTCTAAAAAATATTTTTTGAGTTACAGCAATTTTAAGAAAACGTCAAAATTCTGAAAAATACCCAAGGCTATAGCCCATGGTTTTTTCCAAAAAATGGCTCTGAAATCACCCCAAATTTTTATTACATTTTCTGATACATATTGATGTCCTTATGCTGTGTAGAAAGTTTGAGCTGATTCCGACAAAATTTTTTCGAGTTATGGCCATTTTAAGAAAACGTCAAAATTCTAAAAAATACCCAAGGCTATAGCCCATGGTTTTTTCCAAAAAATGGCTCCGAAATCACCCCAAATTTTTATTACATTTTCTGATACATATTGATGTACTTATGCTGTGTAGCAAGTTTGAGCTCATTCTGACGAATATTTTTTGAGTTACGGCCATTTTAAGAAAATATCGAAATTCTGAAAAATACCCAAAGCTATAGCCCATGGTTTTTTCCAAAAATGGCTCCGAAATCACCCCAAATTTTTATTACATTTTCTGATACATATTGATGTCCTTATGCTGTGTAGCAAGTTTGAGCTCATTCCGACAAATATTTTTCAAGTTATGAGCATCTAAAGAACATTAAAACTTTAAGTCTTGCTCATACTCCAATTAATGCCCATCACTCAATGATTTGACTTGTGCATGTACAGTAACAAGCAATGAGACTTATATTAATTTATGTATTTTATTTATTTATTTTATTTATTTTATTTATTTTATTTATTTATTTATTTATAGTTACCTAATCCTCTTGCTTCAGCATTCCAACAAGCCCAGGCAGTGGCCTCCTCCATTACGGCTAACATTCAATCACAGGATCCTTTCTCAGCAGCTGATTCACCAACTGGCGGGTCTACTGGTCAATCGGCAGCTGCTCCAGTCCTACCATCAATGCCTCCTATCACTGGTAATGTTGATCCTTCTAAGATTGATGAAATCCGTAGAACCATATACGTGGGGAATCTATCAAGCACAGTAAGGGAGAAAAGGGAGCTAATTTATATATACATATTTTTCTTTTTTTTTTGTTTTCAGTTGCATGCGGATCAGGTTATGAATTTCTTTCAAACTTGCGGTGAAATAAAATATGTTAGGATGGCCGGAGATGAAACGCAACCAACACGGTTAGAATATAAATTATTTATTTGATTATATCCTTACCTTCTCCCTCTCTCTCTCTCCCCCTCTCCCTCTCCCTCCCTCTCTCCCCCTCTCTCCCTCTCTCTCTCTCTCCCCCTCTCCCTCCCTTTCTCTCTCTCTCAGTTTTGCTTTTGTAGAGTTTGCTAATCCCGAGTCAGTACAGGTTGCTTTGCAGTACAATGGTGCAATGTTTGGTGACCGGCCGATAAAGTGAGTGGATCACATGATCTCTTCTACTGGTCACATGATTCTCACGTGATTTGTGTTTTCTTTATATTAACTGCAGTGAGACTGCTGGCCCTCATTACCTAAGAAATAACCCCCACCCTTCTTTTTCCTCCCTCCCTCTCTTTTTCTCTATTTATCTCTCTCTTCCTCCCTTTCCCTTTCTCTATTTATCTCTCTCTTCCTCCCTTTCCCTTTCTCTCTCTTCCTCTATTTCTTTCTATGTCATTTTTCCTTCTTTCTTACCACTATTCATTCTTCAGTATCTTTCTCACTATTTTTTATACATACATATACATGTATATGCACATATTCCATTACACATACACTAAACTGTATAAAGTACTGGTCTTGCAAATAAGCAACACAGTAAGTGGAAGAAGACCTGAAATACATGTATTTGTATTGACTTTTTAAAAATAATTATTGAATAT